AGAGAAGGGAGGTGTAGAAACTAGAAGCAGATTAGAAGGAGGAAGAGGGAGACAGAGATGCTGCGGTGGCGGATTTTAAAATTAAAATGATTAATTACTTACGAAGAGTTTGTCGTTCACTATAGAATCACAAGGAGCATAGATAATCACGGAGTCAACCATTCCCTTTTCCCCGTCATAGTTCCGTTCTGGACAATTAGGAGCTTTCACCGCTCCCCCGTAGGTCGAAGAAATACACTGAAGTGCTAGAGATACACTTAAACGCAAGATTAGTACATTGATTGCGATTATCATCCTCGGTACCGAGTACGGACTGGTCTTGGAGCTGGCGGTTCAAGATACCCGACTTTTGCAAGGTTTACATGTACAGTTCTGTAGTTACTATACACCTACATAGCGTCACCTTATCCTAGCAATGCCGAGATATGTATCCTGACTAGGTAAGCGCTTTGAGTACCGACGATGACACCATGGACTATTATGAACTAGTCAAGGACCTTGACCTCAGAGACCCAAAAAAGAAATCGAGGACATCATGCAAAGCCTCGGCCTCGAAGAGCCGGCTGAATACTTCCGCGTTAGTGGCTTTTTAGGCTGCTTCTCTGTTTGTATGAATGATGCCACCATTAAAGCAGCAGCAGCTTCACTTCCTGCCGTGCACTGTGCATCGATAAGGCAGCTGCAGGCGGAATGCCAATTTGCATTATCTGCCGTGATCTGTGCAGAGCAGAGTTCGAGGAGGATTCTAATTTTACTGATAGTCCAATTGACCGTAATTTGGTCGTATTCAAAAGGGTTATCTTTTGAAGGATCAGTTGTCTTTCCGGCCAAAACTATTAGGCTGGAAAAAATGATAGAATAGTCAGTCACTTATTAGGGGCTTTAGTTATTCTTGTTCGTCGGCAACGGAAGAGACCACGAGTCCGTTAGGCACCGAGGACAGAAGTACTATCCGAAAGTCCTAGCGATATGCGATATCCGATTTCGTACTTTGTAGCTTCCCAGAACCGCGATCCAGCGATGAAGTATAGAACATCCCGGTGGAGGTCTATCTGGCCCGGGATGATGCCCGTTTCAAAGCTCTCCCCACTTTTTCTTTTCTGCTTATTTTTTGGAGCTTCTGCGTCTTCTTCCTTCTGTAAACCAGGCTCCAATCCCAATCAAACCCCCCTGCTCGCTCCTAATCTTGCCTTCCAACCCTCCCCGGTCCATCCAATGATCTCCTTCAATTCCTCCTAAATCACTCCAATCACTTACCTTCCATCCACCATTCCCTTCATCTCCACTTCCACCCCTGCGGCGTCCACGCCCTTAAGTCATTGGCTCTCCCCCAAACATGCGGTCTGCTCTAATCCCGCCCGTTGACCTCATCGATGGGCTCTGCTTTCCCCCTCAGACCACGTTGCACATGGAATAGAAATCGTAAAAATGAAAATTACACCAGCGCTCGTCGCTCGGTGACCTCGCATCCCGACCGGTGGCACATCATACGAATCGATTTTCTTTTTTTCCCAACTCCTTTCTACACTGCAGGGCGTACCTTAGCGACAAAGAACAGTAGCCCCGACCGAGCCTATGACAGCACCGCATACAGTGCCAGCGCTGGTCTCCACGGTGCTTTCACCAGCGCCAGTCCTAGAAACGATAAGATAGACGGAGGAATCCGACTCCCGGATTTCCCTGCTGCATCAATGACGGAATCAGACTAGCCACACGACTAGTCTACACTTTCCTCCTTGTCTCCTGGCTCCGTCAGGATGCCGAGGGACGGGGCCAATATCGATACAATCCATTTTTCTCCGTCCAGTGAGCCTGCCCAATGCCGTGACGTGATACGAACCTGCTCTTCCGTGGCTTCAAAGATCCCCAGTCCCGTGTCCCGGGTCTTCAGGTGTTTTTTCTTTTTCCTTATCCCCTCTTTCAATAGTAATCTTCGCGTGGATGGTCTCCGCGCGGAGGAGAACCCGGGGGGAACCGACTACGGTAGCTAGTTGCTAGTCTGCTACCTGCTAGCCTGACAACTGGGGGGGGGGGACACCCAAGGTAGTAGACAACTCACAAGCTGTTAGTCAACGATTTGCTTCTCCTTCCAAATCCAAAAGAAAGCCCAAATTTCGGGGAGAACGGGAAAAAAACGAGGCATTAATTTTTTTAGTCTGTCGTGACTGTGGATCACATCTTTGCGGTGGTCTTTTTTGTTGCCATCAGGGGCCGGGCCGGAATGCCCACTCGTGCCAGACTTGCGTCTCCCGTGGTTCACCGGTTTAGGGAGGACCCAGAGGATCCTAGACAAAACGTAGGGGATCCATCGTGTGGGTGTCACCGTTGTTCGTCATCCGTACCGTAACGAAGTCGACTCGGGAGTTTGACCATTCCAAGACCCAAAGGAGATGTAAGCTGGGAAGAGTCCGTCCGGCATGAACAGTCCTGCCTTAAATGTCTGGACTCCGGAGACAAGACAGTAAATCTTCATGTCTAGACCATCTCCTGTCTACCCTCATACTACTCCGTCGAGTCTACTCTGATATCCTCTTGTAGTGTCAGTGGACCAGGTTCGAGATCTCCACTAAGCTTAAATCAGAGAAAAAGCAAACATGGTCCCAGATCGCCGGTCGAAAGCCCCCACCTGATCGGTGCTTTTTTTTTTTCGCTGAGGCGTTAGTCTTGTCTGTTTCGCTTAGCTGCTTACCGTAGTTGCTGTAGTTACAGTACCTTCACCAGTTGACCCCCTCCGTATCTTTCCAGTAGCCTCTACTGACCAGTTGACATTTCGCCGTTCGGCGCCTTGACGATCATCTCCCTAATAATAGTCCGCCTTGATTCTTTCCCCTTAGCCCACCCGTCCACATCATCCACCCGAGCTATTTCAACGGACCTTACTCCGTACTCCGTCCTGTCACCCTTTTCCAGCCTCCTCCGACCTCGGCACTCGGCTTCCCATCACTACCAAGCTACCGCTCCAGCTACCGCTCCAGCTCCAGCTCTAGCTCCAACACCGCTCCGCTCCGCTATCTCCAAACCTTTCTCTCGGGCTCACGGCCAATGGCTCCTCTACTCACTCGCAAGCGCGACTGCGCCTACCTCCTCTTCTTCATCACCCACATCCCCATCATCTTCCTTATCGATACCGTGCCCCTGCAACCCTCCTGGCTACGCACCGAGCTGTCCGCCCAGTTGCGAGGGTACTATGTCGCGACCTATCGGGATAAGTTCTTCGAGGACCCTGCGCCCGTGTGGTTCAGTGCGTTTATCTGGATGGAGTTGCTTTATCATGTGCCGGCCAGTTTGTGGGCGGCCTGGGGGTTGATTCGAGGTATGTTTATATTGCGCTGTGGAGCATGGAAGGTGGAGAAGATGGTGGATGGAGAAAGGGGTACGGAGAACGGAGTATAGGGAGCAGATAAGATCGATCAGATCAAAGAGATCAGATCGTCCAGATAGAGTGTCCTTGTGAACCTCCCGCCAGTCTGGAATGATCCCCAATCTGATCTGATAACCTTCTGCGCTCATACCCTCCATCTCCATTCTCCTGCCATTCCACATCTCATACACCATTCGCCCATCTTATATCCTCCACAACAACTCGCTATCTAATTCCTGGACACCAAACTAACAGTTCCAATCCAGACCACCCCCTCATCCCAGTTCACCTCCTCATCTTCGGCGTCCAAGCCTTCGTCACCTCCCTAACCTGCCTGGTCGACGTTTGGAGCTGGCCCGATCGCACAACGTCCGAGAAACAACAAATCACCTACCTCTACGGCCCATACGTTGCACTAGGTGAGTACCAGACAAAACTCCACAAAAAAAAAAGAACAAAACAGACCAAACCCCGGAGCTTCGAGCTTGGAGCTTGGGATGCAATTCGCAATTCGCGATTCGGGACATTGCAATTCGTTTTTTTCCCCCCGTGGCGTCTTTTCTGCACGAATAACACACATCACGAACCAGACTGACCAGTGCAGGTGCGTTTATTGCTTTGGACATGGTAGTCCGATTGCGTGCTCGGTTAATGCCAAAGAGCAAGCGCGAGTGAGTACGTCATATCCCGAGCTTATGGCGAGCGAGGACAAGACGAGACCAGACCGGAACCAGACAGGTCAAGTCTGGTATGCACCTGCAGAAGGGCTGTTGGTGGCACATAAAAAGGTTCCTCGATGCAGAGGTACAGACACATGCAGATCCGCATAGAATGTGACGCAAAGGGCCTGCAGACCGAATGTGAAGTGCGAAGTCTCCGTACGGCATCTATGGTATCATTCCTTGCTATAGAATCACGATCACGATCACGACCACGATCACGAGATCGCGATGCCAGATGCCATCATATAATCGTACATTGCGCTACTGACATGGATACATGACGAGGATATGAGAAGAGCTAAAGATCAGACAAGGGGGAACTGGAACGAGTACCGACAGAAGGTAGAAGGCATGAGGCATAATGCGCAATGCGCAAGGCATCAAACAGCAAGAGAAGAGAACAGAATACATGATACAGTCCCGCTAAATACAATATCCAATACCTGACCCCCCACCGCTAAACGCCTGTATATGTCGCAGAAGAGACGGAGAAATCACGAGACGATGCGACGGTTGTTTGAACCACCACCCTCGATTCCATTGATTCGTGATCCGTGGTCCATTTCTCAGAGCAAGAATCCAATTGCCCCGTCTAGATCCCCATTCGCCGCGTCCAGCGCCCGAATCGCCTCTTCACGAGTGAAGCCCAGCTCCGTGAGCTTCGCAATAGAAGCCTGTGGCCATCGTGACGCCGGCGCAGGTCGAATATTGATCCTGGGCGCCGGCGTACCCTGTTGCTGCTGCGGCTGCTGCGACTGTTGCGGCTGCTGGGATTGTCCAGAGGAGGGTCCGCCGGCCTGATGCGTGACCGCACCAGTGCGCGCTCCGACCTCCGCACCATCTGCGCCCTTTACGGTCGGCTCGTCCTCGAACCCCTCGGTTAGATGCTTGGGGATATCGGCCTCACCCAGGAACGGCACGGCTTGGTCCTGGATCACCAGAGCACCACGCTGCAGATCGATGCAGGCTTGGTGCCGGCGCAGCATGTCCAGACCCAGCAGCAGGTCAATCTGTTTACCCTCCATGACGGTGAATGAGCAGGGTAGGAACATGTCGCCAATCTTAATCTGCGCCGAGTGTACGCGGCCCAGGATAGGCGCAGTGCCGACGCCCTTGGCGATACCGCCGTACCGTCGATCTACTAGACGCATGATGTTGCAGGCGACCGCGCAATCGGGGGACATGATGGTGACCTGGGCGCCGGAGTCGACAAAGGCGTTGAGTCGGTGGCCGTTGACTTCGACGGGGATGTAAAGCATGGTGACGCGGCCGAATGCTGTAGAAGGAAGTTAGCTTAGCTGGTATCCCGGGGATAGTGGCAGCAACGGAAGATTCCTGGAACTTCAGGGACAGCAAAAACACACATTCGGGGTGATGCTCCATGGCATTGTGTAGATTCTCCGTGACCGCATTCTGGCGAATAATCTCCTCAATCTCGCGCTGGTTATCCGGATTAAACGGGTCGGCATTCAGCATCGCAATACGAGCTTCCTTCTCCGCCTCGGCTTGCGCTTCGCGCTGCTGTTGCGCGAGCAACACGTTCCGGAACTGCTGCGCATTATCCGCCGCCGCCGCCAACTCGGGGTTTTGTCTGCGCACAGCTTCGCGGACGCGTGGATCACCCAGAATGTGTAGTCTAATAGTCTCCGGGTCAGGCATGCCGGGGCGCGGGGCGACGTTTTGGCGTGGCGCAGCACTGGGGCCTGCGGCGGAGGAGGAGGGGGGTGCGGCGGTGGCGGAGGAGCGTGAGGGGGCTTGAGGATTGCTTCGGATGTTAATGTGAACGCCAAGCATATCCCCCTCGCCGATCCCGACCTGGTCGAGAGTCTGTGAGGGGCTCTGCAAGAGCTGGTTGTTGAAGACCAGTTGTTGGACTTCGGGGGGAATAGCGGTTTCACTTTCGACGATGGCTTTGAGTAGCTCTATCGTCATGTCGCCGCCAACCTCGAGGTTGATGATATCGGAGTCCGCCTGCTCGGGGCGCATGACGCTAACGGTGATACGCCTGGATGGAGGGGGAGATGCGTTAGTTTGAAGATCGTTTTTCAAATATAGCAGGCTGGCGTTTTTGTCTCCGCGACTCACATGATGTCGGGTGCGGGGAGGACACAACAGCTCTAGAGAGGAGGAGGGGGGAAAGAATAAGGTGCAGGTTTAAGCTGCTCGAGATAGACAAAGCACTAAGCAAGACCAACAATGAGAGAAAGGGCAGCCAGAAAAGTTATAAGAGAAGGTGACGGTTTAGGAAGAGGAAAAGAAGGAGAAAGCGGAGGAGAAAGGAGATGGAAAGTCGTGCGGGTATGGAGCGCTGACTAGGCTCCTTACATACGCCCGCTCCACTATCGCCTTCTGTTCGTCCTCCCTCTTCTGCCTGGTCTCAATTGCCCTCAACCCCCTCCATTCTCATCGGGCAACAATGGACTTAATCTAGACCAGCTGCAGGTCCAACGACCCACTTGTCTAACGGGAGCAGTGGATGATGATGATGAGCAAGCGCATCACGCTGGTGGATCCGAACTCCCCGCACTTAGCTCCGACCGGTCTCCAGTTCCGCTTGATATGGTACGGTCACGGCCAAAGCAACTCTGAAACTCGCTCTGCCACGTCTCCGGAGAAGATCGGCATCGAGTCATCAGGTATTGACGAAAAGGCAGCCAGCGAAGACGAGATGAAAGCCTCTCAAAGCCATACCATCCATGCCCTGCTCCTACCCCTTTGGGTGGACGGGCTGACCATGCTAGCGCAGACGTCCGCTCCTCCGTGATATGTGATCTCAACAGGATAGAACTGAACCGAGCCCGTGCCTATTCCATCCGGTTGCCCTCGGCTATGGTCCTGTGTCTGATTCCAGTTTCTAGCACTGGTCCAGCCAAAGGGCGGAGCTGAAAAAGTACCATGACTCCCACCGTTGGGGCCATGCTGCCTTAGCGTGCCCCCACGGGTCGTCCCCTGAGCAGATCTCTCTCTGAAACCTGCCAGCTGCCCCTCCACCCCCTTCTCGCCCAAGGTGACGGGAATGAGCGACCTCGCATGATCCTCAAGCGGGTCGCTCGGCAAAACCGTTGGGCTGGCGACACTAACGAGCAGTCAATGCTAGTCGAAGATGGGAATTAGACGGGCGTCACCCCGTTCTAGTGCTAAGTGTGCTATGTTGGCTGTGCCCAAAAAAGAAACTCTCAGCGCAGAGCCCCCTCTACCACCAAATACCTCAACGGATGCAGTTCTTCCTGAACGTGAGATGCTTGCGAAGTGGTAGTGCTGACGCTAAAGGTCTCGGCACCGGCGCGAGCCTGCAGCGGGCGTTCCCGCTCGGATCGACCGCTGTTGATGATGACAGCCTCATCGACGGTGCACGGGGACCACCGGCTATTGTGGTGGCTGCGGGGCGGGGACCCCTCTTGATGATGACATGCTCTCTCTGCTTACCGCGCGGACCCTCTCGTCACGGCACTATATAGACACAAGATGTGGGCTGGCAGGGATCTGAAAAATAAAAATGCTTCGTCCGTCATATCCTTGGTGCTATCTGTCCCCCATCTTCCCGGGAGACAAGTCTCGTGGACGTTGGCCAAGCATAGGGCCTCGTCATGAATCATCTAGCTTTCCATCGTGTCGGGTCAATGGTAGCTGTCATGCGCCTTGGCGTACTAATGCCGATTCCCAAAAGGGACATCCTGCTGGGCTCTCAACATGGATCATACTGCATTCGGCCCGATGCAGCAACGTCGACATTTTCCCCAGCGGAGGATTTAGTCACGGCTCTTACGAATAAAGATGCCAGGTGAGCTTCGCTTGAATTACTCTTAAACTCAATTTTTGTTCATTCAGTCATGGGTCTTCGTTATATTATTAGGATTATGCAACGTAGTTGAGCTTAGCTCATAGCGATCCAGTAGTGCCACTGCCTCTCCGTAATGTAGAGCGAGGAGTGCGCATATATCGACTCAATCGACTATGGGGTTGCTGACCCTCCACATTTGGCAATCCAACTTCAATATCGTCCGCAATTTTAGCTTTCTCACTGGGCTGAATTTTCCCAGGTGGCGTGAGTTCATAACGACTATAGGGATGTATTAGAGGACTTGACCCCTTGTCAAAATCAGACGGAAGAGAAAACTTACCATGTAGGACATGTTCGCGACCTTCTGACCAGCCATTCATCCACGCAGCTCTGATGAAACAAGTGCCCACAAGGCAAGACTCGCAGGAGTTGATTCTTGACATACTCATCCGTACAAATAGCACACATAGACATCGCCGATTCCGCACTGGCGGTAGTCTTCTCCCTGTCCGGTTGAGAACCCTGCGTAGATTCATCAGGGGATTCGTTTGACATATGCCGTAATCCATCCTTCGAATCGTCATATTGCACAAGTGGAATAGTTTTGAGCAGTCCTTTGGTCACACTGCGTTGTCGCGGCTGTCCCGAGGAATGAGCAGCCCATGGTCCATCATGGCAACGAGTCCGGAGGATGGCGACCGTGATGCCCACGATGATAAGAATAGCTGCTATCGCTGCGATGACATACAGCGTGACCTTCTCTGCGCCTGAGAGCCCTGCGCCATTGGTGGCTGTGGATGTTGCCCTACCCAACAGCATGGCTGTATGGGGGATGATGTCGGAAGAGTAGAGCGTGTAAGTTGAGCCAAACATGAACAAATCTGAGCCGACAAATTACTCGACTAACTTCAGAGGGTATTAATAAAGCTCATATATATTGTGTGCAAGAATAAATAGCTTCAAAACATTCCCAAAAAAAACTCAGCGCGCTTTTATTTAGCGAGCGGGTGAGTTTATCCACTCACCCGCATCCTACTCACCCGCGCCCCGCAAATGGGATCTGCAACTGAATACAGACCTTGCGCAATTTGAGGCGTGGAATTCGCCGAATTCAGCGCTTCCATTCATTTGATTCGACCGGAATTCAGTATGTGTTTTGGATGGTGACCAGAAAGGGTATGTTGAACCATGAAGTATGGTTCGGGACCCGAGCGAGTCGGCCGGAACGGCTCGGCGGTGGTGGAAGTTCGGACGCCGAACTATAGAATCCTAATGATCTATATGAAAGCATATAGATGATGTCAAATGCGGGGGAGCATCTACTTGGTGTCTATTGCTGACAGAGTCATATCTACCATACGTGTATTTTGTCGCCCTCTTGGTGCGTTCAAGTCGGAGCGTTGATGAAGTTTATCACCAACTTTCCGGTGTTCCAGTCACTCTCCCCCCTTAATGGCCTAGTTGGACATACCTTCAGTGGTTGGACCATTTGGGTGTGCTTCATGAGGGGAAATAACAGTACCGGTCTCCCGTGTCGAGCATGATCTCCACGGGTTACCAGGCACATCCCTAGGCGGGGACAGTGGGTGGGTGGGATGCGAGTGAGATGGTTCACCTCACTCGCGGTATTCTTCTTTTTGAGAAATTCTCAAACATAGTCTTTAATATACTAATCAGATCTTATATTCCTGATCTAATTCTCGAAAAGGGATCTTTAGGAGGTGTGAAGGGGATAATATTGAATGGGGATTGTATCAGTAGGACCGGGCCAGCCTACAAAGTATGTACTTCGGTATCTTTGGGTGGCGGTTGAGCATTATGGCGAAAGTATATAGGGAATGCGAGATCGAGGGTTCGTTTCATGGGAAGTACGAGCTTTGTCTTCTTTTCTTCTTCCCCCCTGCCTAACAACAGTTGGCACACGGCCACTTACTGAAGAAAAATGGGGCAGGTTTACTCGCACCACAGATCTTGACAGTTTAGCCCCCAGAAGATGACGCGGTGGGATTACTGGCCTAACGCCAGCCTGGTGAGCAAAGATGCAACTGGGGGCGATCCTGCGCCCGACCAGGGGGACTTCAAAAGATCATGTTGGTGACAGTATGCTTGCAAATTGTGCTAGTCCTTTCTCTCAATCAAGGTTAATATACGTATACTATCTCGAAGCGAAGCCACCAACTCATCGTATTTTTGTTCTCGAGCATGCTATACATGACGATCAGTCAGTGGCCTTCAATCCACCAGGCTGGAACATGGAACTCTAGATCCCCCACGTGGTATCCTTCTAGCTTCCTCATGGTGCAGACACATAAGCACTGCCACTCCGTGCTTCCAATCACACTCCGCCAATCAACAGTTCGGCCCCTGATCCAATACTTTCTTTTCTCTATATCTATTTACAGCCCCCATAAAGTGTATACCATGCAGAGAATCGGGGCCAAGAACCACACTTTGTAGTATCTGACCTACTCATTGGGGGCGGCCCCTTCCCATCCAGTGAGGGGTTCTCACCAAGAAATGTCAGATTGACAAGTAGTGTTTTCTATAATAGCCACCACTCACCCTTTGTCTAATTTGCGATGATCTCGAGCCCAGATTGCTGTTGGGACGTAAGTCTCACTCTCTCATATCATGGAGAATCTCATGAATACACCCATCACGGCGGTATTGGGTCCCCCGCCAGCAGGTGTTGACCTCAGAGAAAACCGAACGTGGAGAGACAATGCTGTTGTTATAACCATCTCCGTGATTGCGGTAATCATCGTCGTGATAAGATTTATTGTGCGACTCAGAAGCCAAAAGTCAAGGCCCTTTCTGGATGAATGGCTTATTGCGGCAGCTTTGGTAAGAAATTCTAAATTATATATATATATTGCTTCCACGAAGCTCATTCATTTGCTAGGCTCCTATGCTGGCTCTTTTAGCTGCTTCATTAGCCGGTGGTCATTATGGAATGGGAAAGCATGTCTGGCTCGTGACAATCAGTGCCATGGTGAAAATGAAGAAGGTATATATAACCACTCCTGGAGGTAAAGATATGCCACTTACAAATCTCCAGATCCTATTCGCCTATCTCTTCGTCTATCTTTTTGAGCTGTTCCTCATCAAGATATCCATTTTGGCTTTTTACCGCCGCATTCTTGGGCGAAACTGGTCGATTCGGGTTTGCCTCTTTTTAACAACTGGATGGACAGTGGGAAGCATGATTGCCCTCCTGTTGAGCAGTGACCCGGTTGCTTATTTCTGGACATCAACTTACGATCCAAAGGGCGGTCATTATCGTTACAACTTTTATGACTACTATATCGGAAACGCCGCTGCAAATGTCGTCATTGACGTATTGATCCTTCTCATCCCAGTCCCTGTGGTCTGGAGATTGAAGCTCCGAGTTACTCAGAAGATCATGATAACGAGCGTCTTCTTTATCGGCGTGTTGTACGTTACCCAGCCAATGTATACTTTGCATGATCATTTTCGACCCTAACTGACATTCACAATCTAGTGTCTGTGTCGCCAGTATCGTGCGACTCCACTATCTGACATATCTCAAGGGGACTCTCGACATCACATGGGTCATGAGCAATGTCTACGTCTGGTCCACCGTGGAACCTTGCCTTGGCATAATGTGTGCTTGTCTGCCAGCCCTCCAGCCACTCGTTCAATCGTTCATGAAAGCAGAGCATCTGCTTTATCTTCGAAAGAGGATACGCCACAGCAAGAGAATGAGCCAAGTCAATCGATTACGAAAGCATATCAGCAATACCAGCAGCAGTGACCGTAGCCATAGTCGATCGGGCACTGCGGATTCATTTGACAGCAAGCCCGAGCTGGGCTTGCGAGCTCATGACGATGAAGTGCATCTTACATCGTGTGTTGCACAGATCGAATCGGACAGGTGTCGCAAGGAAAGAGAGAATTTGGAGGAGTTTCTTGGCCCTATGTTCATTCGTGTGGAGCATGAAGTCGAGTGGACGGTGGATCGTTCATAATTTTGCCCTGCTTTACTTAGTCTTGTTTGGAACAAATTTTAACACCTTGCATACTTGTTTTTGGGAGATTATAGGGAAGAGTTCTGAACCTCTATGTACGGTACGGAGCTCATGCGTTTATTGTTGCCGTCTAAGTAACAAACAGACTGGGTGGAGGTCCGAGGTAGCACTTCTTCACTCCACCAAGATCTAACACAATTTTCTCAAGTAGCAAATTGGGGTGATTCAACCTGATTCGGATGATATGAGCGCCAGGATCAAGCCCGGGGATATCGTGATCTCGTTTCCAAACGCAATCCATGACAGCATCCAGCCAGCCTTCAGCTGGAATTTTATCGCTTTTCTTTTCAGATTTTGGCAGCAACAGGTGGCTCTGCCCGGGATCATTGTCAATTACAAAGTCGTAGGACATGGGATGATCAGGGTCGATATCAAGAGTCATATTGAAGAAAAGAGTCATGATTCGTGACGATTTTGAGAAGACGTACACCGGGTACTCGAGGAATGGCACAGAAGCATCGTCTTCAAAGCCGAGACCTTCAATACTTACCGCTCCCTCGGTTGATCGGCCAAGTTCTGGATGATGCTGGTATGGCGCATTGATTCCCACTCCTGAAGCGGGAATAGATACGCAGCCGTCCGATTCGACGAAGCCACGAAGCGATTCAGGAGCTCTATGGCAATTGAGGGGCAGATGAACATGTTCAAAACCTCCTTGCTTAGAGGCAACACTGATCAAAACCTCTTCATCGAAATCTACTGGTACCCGCTCCCATTCAACTGTTATCCACACACGCACATCTTCGCCATCGGGGAGTAAGGTGCCTTTTGTTTCCGAGAGCTGAATCCAGGAATGAGGGACAGAGACGCTCCAATGAATCACTTGTGTACCTCTGGTAAAAATGTCAAACCATCTCTTAATTGGACCATAACGGTTCATAGGGCCAAGTGTAAGTCCTGGAACAAGGTCTCGTCGACTGGGATGGGTTCGTTCACTCTCCTCATTGATTCTTCCAGCTCGGACCCCTTCATGACCCTCCACTGCAACTCCCATCTCTCCGACGATTCTATTGCTATCTTGATGTCGCTGCACGTATGCAAGACCAAATATAGCATCGCGCGAAGGCGCATGCCAAGTATCTCCGTATCCCATGTGGGGTTGGCACAGCATGTAATGCCACTTGCCATCAAGGAGTGAGTGAAACTCTTGGGATAGATTAAAATCGGCATCGAAGAGGTCAAGGGCTTGACGCAAAAGTTTGTTCGCTGTATTGCGCCGTTGGCGCGCATAGAGCTGGTTTCGAGCTTGAACTACCCTGAGTCGGCTGAATATAGAGCTAGCCTTGACCGGGTGAACGACTAGCTCCCAGAATGCCGGTCTCTGCTCTTCGGGTACCTTCTTGTATACTGACTCTGCCTGGTACTCTAATTTTTGCCATCGAGCAATAATGTTGTCGGCTTCATTGTAGTGTAGCAAAGAGAAGCTTTCCGGATCAATGTGCTCGTGTTTTCGCATGCGCACGAGGCGATCGTACTCATGCCAAATACGGACAATTCTGCGATCCAAACCGGAGCCGAAGTATTTGGTCGCGATTCTTCCCAGAAATTGAGGAATGGTATTAATATGGACCGAGTCAATGTTCCATGCCATCTCCATCGCAAAAGTAAGAGGGACCTCGATTGGCTTGATGTCACCAACGTTGAAAACCCAAATCTTCCGGGCCTGTCGCTGATATGCTTGAGATAGCTGGTGATAGATTTTACCCTGTTCCATGCTGCGTCAGCTGATCAAGCTCCGACTATATAACTATGTAGCAAGTTGCAGCGTACCAATGAGTTTGAGTTAATCCACTTGTAGCTCCGGGGCGCGCCGACATATTCAAAATGGTAGTATATCTGTTCAAATGATTAGTCGATCCTTATTCTAATTACCAGTATATTCAGACATGTCATTAATCAATATGCAGATAACCTATATGCTCTCGTTGAAGTACGCGGCGATCAAGGCAAATTCAACTTACTCCTGCACCTCCAGACCTCCTCCGCTCCTCCCCTGATGGCAAGCGACGCAAAGATCCAAAGTTGTCATCCGCGAACAAGAGCGTAACATCCTCTGGAACTGTGAATTCACCAGCCTCATAAAGATCCTGCACCTCCTTGTACAGTGCCAGCACTTGAGGTACCGCATCTTTACGACCATGCACTTCCTCGAAAAGAGCGCGCTGTTCCCGAAGGACATCTCGCATGACTGCACCAGGGTCATCAGTAATCATCTGCTTATCATACTCACCGCGCATTCCAAGAGTAAAAAATGACTCGAGACCCTTTGCACGCTGGACGCCTTCACGGAAAAAGTCGACAATCTCATCACGGTGGGTGAGCCAGTTCCACGTTCCATCCGCATGGTTTTGGAACCACTCAGTCGAAGCACGCTGCATTGGCTCGTGATGGGAAGTTGAAACGCAAATTCCATATTCGTCCGCTAGACGCTGATTCTCTGGGTCATCAAGGAAGAATACAGCTCCGGGGTTCGGATACCCTGGCCACATTGCTGGCCACATGAAGTTGGCCTTTAATCGCAGGAGCAGCTCGTAGACCTTTCTGTAGAAGTCGCTGTTATATTTGCCAAATTTCTCCAGTACCCAGCCTGTGAGTGCCGGTGCTTCGTCATTGATGAAAATTCCACGGAATTGGATGCTCGGCTCGCCCTGGGTAGTCTGTACTGGGCGCGCATATATCTCTGGATGGAACTGTGCAGGGACGTCTGCCCACCAATACCATCTTTTTCGAGTAAACAGAATGTCAGCGGGATCGTTATAAGCAAGGTTAGTACAGTGACATACGGGGATACTCCAATTTGGCTTGAGAGTGTGTATGTTCCAAACATCGCTCCTCTCTTATCACTCCCAGCAATAACTAAGGCCCTAGCACATCCGGGAAGCGGGTCATTGACAACACAAGTGATAAACGACTCCCATTTGCCCCGAATCGAAGCAGTCTCAATCTTCCCTGCCTTCTGTAGCTCCCGAATCATCCAGCATGATTCTATGCACCCGATTATGATAGCGGTTGGTGCGTCGAGGCGACCTTCATGTACCAATTCAAATGAGCTTGCTTTACCTCGTTTAACTCGACCAAAGTCCTCAGCCAGTGCTCGGGCTGCATGATGAATCCCAGCGAAATCAGCCGGATCAGCTATGATCTTGGCCCCGACAAGATTGAGATGACCAGGCGAGTCTGCGAATACGACAATGGAGTCTTCGGACATGATCATAAAGCGCACAACACACAGATACCGAGGTCTGAAAGTCGATGGGGTTGGCCTAGCGCACACCTTTAATGCGCGAAGTCCCCAGGCTTTATACAATCATGGTCCTTCCGCTAAGATTCGCCCCACGCCAATCCTATTACAGCCAAAACACACAGCGGGGTAATTGCTCCACTTGTAGGAAGAATACCATGTTCAATTCGGGTCGTTGTCACCCGAAGACCCTCTTCTGGCACCACAACGTCCAATTTAACGACTCCATGCTGTACTATGGGCTTTTTTTTCACTAGGATTGCCATGTATTTGCTGGACTTTTATGAGAGTTATCATAAAGAAGCACCACTGCAGCCAGAAAGCAGCATCATTCTAGGCATGCTATGAGGATTTTCTCTCTATAGAGTTATATACGCTAAGCACGCCCTAAATTACACGATTTCAGGAAACCTTGATCAGGTTATCCGGCGACAATGCTTAACATACCAATGGCCTGTTCTTGATGACACTTTTCTACGTTTTCACAATCAAATACGAGGACATATATCATTGTGGTCTATATAGATTCCTGATCAATAAAGTTGACTTCAATGAGAGTAATCTTCGTTATAGCTCTCTGACACGAGCAGTGATCAAGCAAACTTGTACTCATATTCAAGGTTTTCTTTTCTTTAAACAACCTCCGCCGAATTGAGCAATCAAAAGGCGCTTTTCAGGAGTGGTCTAAGGCGATCGACTCGAATTCCCTTTCTTGTTATCAACTCCCTTCGGGGGCGTCGGTTCCAAGACAGCCGTCGCATACTTGTTTTTGTCTTTTCTTTCTCTATCCCCCAGAGAGAGAAATAAGGCACACTATCTTTTGTGAAATTCTTTTTAGAGACAATTGCTATTGAATGATTCCACTGTGCGCTCTTCAAAGTAGACTTTAAAACGCTATATATTGGTGCTGTGCTCCTACAAGGATACACCAGAGACCTACAAATGAAAACAGCTTCAATGCGAACACCAGTGGACAATTCCTGGCAAGACTTAAGAAAAAGCATGCCCAAGAACCTATAGATAATTTTCGAAGATGTCCAGCAGTGGAATCGAATTGCGACCTTGGTTACGCAACGCAATATACAAGACATACATGTCAAATAAGCATTCTATGCTGTCGAAACACCCTTCTCCTTCGTTCTAAGTAATACGTATATCATTTAACAAAAAGTTGCTATCATCCCTCAAAAACAGGGCTATGGCGCATGTCAGCGTAGCATCCTACGCAAGCCCCAACTCTTGGTAAAAGGCATCAGTTTGAGGCTCACGACCCAAAAACTCCGTGAGCGTAGTCATCTCATCCTGGCTACCACCCTTCTCAAGCACAGTATACCGGTACCGACGACCATGCTCCTTGTTCATAGGGTCATCCTTGAAGACGGTGTAGAACATATCAGTCGAGTAAACCTGCGAGCTGAGGTAACCGTAGTAACCAGCATCGTAACCACCGATCAGATGGCCGAAGGTGGCTTCACCGTGACCCCAGTCGTCGCTGGCACCGAGAGCTTCGGGGCCGTCCATTTGAGTGATTTCTTGGCGGAGACGGTTGTAGGTAGCCGAGATGGGGAGGGCGGTGATATCGGCGTGGCTGGCGGGCTCGTGGACGGTCATATCGAAGATGCCGAAGTGGAGCTGGCGCAAGTTGAAGAGGGCGTCGTTGACGTGCTTGGTGCGAATGAGGTTGTCGATGACGTCGTCGGGGATGCGCTCAGATGGAGGTGCGGTGGCGGTCTTGCCGCCGCTGCGGGCTTGGTGGGCTTCTTGCCAGCCGGCGAGGTACTCGGGAGAGAGTGTGGAATAGTGACGGCTCAGGGCACGCAGCTGCGAGGGCGTCCAGCACCAGTTCTCCAGCATCTGGCTGGGAGCTTCGACAAAGTCCCGCACCGTGTTCGTACCGTGGAAGCGGGAGTAGATGGTCTTGGAGACGAGGTCGTGAATACCGTGACCCAGCTCGTGGAAAAGGGTGACAACTTCGTCGTGCTTGAGGAGACTGGGCTTCTTGGCGGTGGGCTTGGTGAAGTTGCACACCAGCGCGGTGGCGGGATAACGGCGGTTGCCTTGTGCGTCGATGAAGCCCTATATTGATTAGCATACTACTCGTGCTATACTCTTCAAGACCAACATACCGGCTGGAGGTTAAAGTTGGCAGCGTGGCCATACTTGCCCTCACGAGGGAACAAGTCCAAATAGAGATATCCAACAAAGCCATTGCCCTCGCCGGCATCATCCCACACGCTAAACACCTGCACGTCCTCGTGCCAGACAATATCATCACCCTTGCCAGTGGGAGCCACAGCCGCGCGGTCCTCGCCAACGATCTCAACAAACTCCAAACCGAACAGCTCCTCGAAGATCTTCAGCATACCCTCAATGGTAGTCTGAAGCGGGAAGTACTCCGCAATGAGCTGCTGGTCGAGCGAGTAATCCTTCTCCAGCAGCAAACGGTCATAGAACCGGTGGTCCCAGAGGTAGTACCGACCATCATCCTTGGGGTCTGTAGCCTTCTTCAGCTCCTTCAGAGTCTGGATCTCGCGCTTGCCGCCAGCGGTAAGACGAGAACGCAGATCGCCGAGGAACTTGTTCACGGTCTCGGGAGTCTTGGCCATCTTATCCTCAATGCGGAAGGCAGCGTGGTTGGGGTAGCCCAGCAGACGAGCAGCCTCATCACGCAGCACAATCGCCTCCCGGAAGAGCGGCACATTCTGGTTGCACTTGTTCTCATTGGCAGTCATGACCTGGCGGCGAGTATCCGGGTTGGTGGCATACTTCATCGTGGGGAACAGATCGGGGTACTTGAAGGTCAACCAGAGCTTGCCATCATTCTCACCCTCGCCCTTCTTCAGGCTAGAGAGTACATCATCAGGCACACCATCCAATTGCTCGGGGGTAAACCAGATACCACCGTTCTCCTCGTTCAAGTTCTTCTGAAACTCAATGCTCAACTGGCTAAGGCGCTTCTTGATCTCCTTGAAACGGGCACGCTTCTCGCCCGCAGGAAGGCCAAGACCATTTCGAATGAAATCCTTGTGCTCCTTCTCCAGCAGCCGACGAGACTCGGGGTCCAAAGTCTCATTCTTATTCAAGACAGCATCTACCAGCTTGAACACATCCTCCCGCATGACGGACTCAATGAAGAACTCATCCATAAGCTCCTCAGCCTTGGACGAGGCATCACGAAGCTTCTGGTCTGTTGATACAGCCTGGTAAAAGCCAATGATATGCGCCTCCAACGCCATCACATTCTCATCCTGAGAAAGAGGACCCAGCACGCCGGCAAAAGTGGCCGACTCGGGCTTCACCTCCGCAACAACCTTATCCTGGACATCACGCGAGGTCTTGATGAGACGCTCGGCATCAGCGACGACGGACTGCGGGGTAGCAGTGAAAACGGGCGGAGCCTGCGGCGGACGCCGGAGGTGAGCGGGAGCCATGCTGGAGGTGGTCAAGTATCGGTAGTAGACTGGAGTCGTAGTACGGAAGTGACCCAGCACGGAAGAGAGGCGGGCGGGGAGACGGAGAAAGGGCGCCACGATGAGGACGGCGAGGAGGAGAACAAGAAAGTGGAAGCGAGCGGTGAACGCAATGCTGGGCGGAAAGAAGGTCCGTGGACAGGAGGGGGAATGCGGTGTGTGGTGGGGGGTTTTGAAACAGGGCGTCGTTCTGTAGTTGGCAGTTGAGGTGCAGCTGTACCTTCGGTCATACTATGGGGAACTACGGAACCCTGAGTGCGCAATTAGGCCTGAGGCAGACATCATGTATACAGCAGTGAGGCACATGACACGTGATGGAGACCCGCCCCCGCGTGATGTTGACTTTTTGATGACAGAGTCTAGTGGCTTCCCCTTTCCCAGGCCTCCACAATGAAGAAAGACCTTCGAAAACCTACTGCCACCAGTTACATCACCTGGTCCTCTAGTATCGGACTAACTTACGAATCTACGAAGAACTGACAACAGATATAGGTATCAAAGAATGAATAGCAGGTTCGTTTCTAGTTCATGACAGATTATTTAAGTGCCCAATCGCTTTTCAGAATGAGAAGGAAAAAAAAGAAAGCACTCTTCTAAAAAGGAAAGACAAAGAGCACATGAAGACGCCTGATGAACACCACAACCCCCGAGGCCCACGAGAATGCAAAGTAAGTCGTCTAGGAGCAGAACAGGAAGAACATCACAGAAAAATCTAAGCGGCATCCGCAGTGGGAATAGGCTCGGGGATCTTGGTGACCTGCTGGCCAGCACGAATTACACGCTGGCCCATCTCATCACGAACATACTCGGAGTTCTCCTTGTGGCTACGCTTCCAGATCTCGACTTCACAACCACCACGGATCACGCCGACACGCATGGTCGACAGCAGGTTGTGGGCGGCGTTGGAGTGGTAGTAGATACCACCGTTGAACATGGCGGTGGCATCCTTGCCAATACCAGAGCTGATCATGGCTTTGCCACCGGGGTGGTCCTTGATGAAGTCGGTCACGTCGTGGACAACACCGGCGATAGCAACCAGGCCGCGGCCGTTCTTGGACTGCTCGACATAGTCGTCCCACTCCATGACGGGGAGCTGATCGAGAGGAGTACCCCAGTCGAGACGGGCACGCTTCTGGTCAATCTTCTTCTGGAGCTGCTGGACACGACCCTTCTCGATCTCGTTGTTGCGGAACTGCTTGAGATCGTAGGCGAGGCCGAGCTGCTTCCAGGTCCAGATGGTCCACTTAGTGGGGTCGTACTGGTGCCACTCGATGGCGTTGCGGTAGTCCGAGGGGAACTCGTGGTGGAAGTTGTGGTATCCCTCACCGAGGGTGACGAGGGCGGTGATGACGTGGTCACGGGGAGAGTTGCGGTCATCGAAGGGCTGGTCACCGAGCCAGTGAGCCAGAGAGTTGACGCAGAAGGTGGCCTGCTGGACGAAGAAGATGCGCAGAATACCGGCATAGACGAAGCCACCGAACCAGTCACCCCAGCCGAGACCAGCAACGAGCATGGGGGCGATCAGACCCATACCGAAGACGACCTTCAGGTAGTGACGGTGTTGCCAGATAACGACGG